CCAGATACTCAAGTGAAGTGATATTTTATTACACCCCTACTTTGCATGTGCCTCACTTTAACCAAGTATAAACGTTAAATGGGTTTTGGGTATGAAAACCTTGTTAATCTGTTAGCGTGACAGACAGTAATTGTATTGCCTTAATATGGTTAAAATTGAATTAGCCTATGTACACACACTACGTGAGAGCAGAGAAGAGTGCAAATCTTAAGTAAAAGTAAGTCAGTACAAATCGTATAAAACCAAAAATCTCATTACATATTGCACATTCTTCTGATCAACTTTTGGTTCATTGTCTCCCTTCAGATCTCTCTTTTTCAGGAGTCTGCTATTTTGTTATCACTGTTTTTATGGACACACAAGCCTGTTGAGGTGACTTTTGACCTTACAAAATAACTGGATGACTTTCAGTGGCCTATAATCACACTGTTACTCTACTAACCTGAATCAAATTGGAAATTCCCCCCTGAGAAATACTTGCCAAGCAACACCAGAAAACCATACTGCCATTTCGAAAAGATTTCAGCAGCTGAAGTTTGGACACAATAAAAGTCCTGACAGTCGGTATGTGTGGCACCACTATCTTAATGAGCCACAGTTCACTCTCAACTGTCATAAATGTCTCCACGCGTTGAAGACGCAGGACGGGAGCGGCTCATTTTCCTGGCTTTATCAAACTATAAAGTCGATTGAACAAAAACTGTGAGAGACTGCTGTCGGTGCACAGGGCTTATGTTTCCTGCTAGCTTTTGGTTGAATGTGGGGTCTGGGTGTAGATCTCATGCAGGCTATTGTTTCCACATCCTCTGCAGCCTGAGTAATGGCCTTCTGAAAACAGGCTGTCTTTTGTTCTGGCCTCCTCGGCTCCAGAGTGGGATGCCATGGCACTGCTTCCCTTTCTGGTTGATAGGAGGAGAGGGAGGAGGTGCAGCAGGAGGAGGAGGAGGAGGAGGAGGAGGAGGAGGAGGAGGTGAAACCTGTCGCCGCCACCGCTGTCTGTTATCAGCAGGAGGCAAGGCACTCTGGGCCTGGTGCTAATGCAAACTCTGTGTATGTCCGTGTGTGTGTGGGGGGGGGGGGGTTCTGTATTAATCCAGCATGAGCAAGCTCCAGCTCCTCTCACTTCTGCCACTCATAAGGCTGAGGAGGGAGGAAGGCCCAAGTCTAGCTATCAGCCAAACATCTCCGCTACTGGCTTAGACACGCACACACACACACACACACACTCTCTCAGACGGCCAGCCAGCCACCACCCTCATCCTCACCACACTTCAGTAAACACTACTTCTCTCATCATCTCATCGCAAACAAAAGAGCCAAATCGTTCCCAGGGCCACAAGTTGACACATGCCATTTAAGACGAGCCCCCACCACAATGGAGGACAGCGATACAAAACACAATGTGCGTCTGTGTCTCTGGCTGAGTGGAGGAACAAGGGACCCGGGCGCAGAGGGACGTACAAAGAGAGAAACTAGAGATTTTCTTGTGTGTTTCTGCGCATGTTTACGATCCCACAGTCAATCAGTCAGTGCTCCAAGCTATGTGGTGTCTTCTCTCTAGCTGAGCTCCACATGCTGGCACTGGGTGATTAATGTGGCTGCCTTGAGTGGGAGACAGTGCATGTAATCAAGCACCAGCCTGTAATCACCTTCCACTCCTTTTCATTTGCAATTTCACAGAGGGACAGAGATGCTGCCGGAGCTGTGAGTGTAGTACATGAGGAGCGGAGGCTGGGTATGAAGGAGGAAGAGGGAGGATAGGAAGGGTGCTGTGCCACAAGCATCCCCCGAGGTTTCCCCCACCAATGCCAAGAACGATACGTCTCTGGCAGGTGCCTGAGGGCCAGACTGTCAACTTCAACAAATTGTGGGTCACTGTGCCTGACAAAAGCCCCTCCTTCAGTCTCCCCGACCCCCAAGCTAGGTTGGATCTTCCACAGAATGCTATCTTTCTAGACATGCAGGGCCATACCATGACACAAGTGCGGGGGGGGTGAAACAAGTGCCCTTTTATGCCTCATTAGCTTATGGTGTGGATTTTCTCATGAGGGAATTAGACGGGACACGTTTCTCAGTGAGCCAAGATGTGCTCCATATCTCCGAGCTGCTTAATCTTAGACAGAGAACAAATTTTTCCAGAGCTGCTGCTACGGGATCTCAGAGAGCCGCTTGTCTCCGTCTCGCACACACACGCTGGCTAAATAAATATGTAATCCGGTCGGTGCACAAGATTTTCATTCCTGGCTTTTTAGAAAAAGTAGCAAGTTATAACCACCAGTGTTTAAAACATCATAATCCCTCAACAATCTCCCCTTTGTGGGAACGCACTGATTAACGCGATCTGAGAGAAAACAACACTATTTATAACAAGTAACAACATCCATATATAGTATACTGAAGAGATTACTGCAGTGAAAGCTCTTTTGTAAAGTGAAAGTATGCTCACGTTCTTAATTGCCCTACAGCTTTTCCATGTGTTTTTAATTTGACATTTCAAGATGATTCACGCACAAATTAAGAGTGCAATTTTAAAGTGCTTTATAGCGCAGTCATTTAGATAACTAGACAGTTTTTATACCTGCATATTTGATAATTCAGTTTATAATGCGATGGAAGTCAGCATTAAAAGGTCTAGACTTTTCTCATGGTTAAATAGCTAAATGTTCATGATGGAAGATGTTGTTTTGCTCCACTCCATTAGATCCACAGCAGGGAGGTCTCTATCATGTTGGGTACAAACAAACCCTCGGGGAAGGCCGCGACACATCTGGACCGACTGTACTCGATTCATTTTGGGTGATCCAAAGAGGGTGACAACACACAGCTTGCATTCCCCCACTCATTGTTATTCAAATCATAGGGGGGCTCTGGGGATCTTAGCATAGGCAGCCTAAACACACACACAGACACAAAAAAAACTGCAACCAATAGCAAAGGCAAACCAAACAAACAAACACACACCACACACAGAGGGTCCTTAGGGGATCCACTCTGGTTCTGCCAGACTAAAGACTGCTGCACAATGGGCAGAGGGGGCAGGACAGAAAAAAAGGGGGGTGGGACATGAATAAATCATGTCTTTAGGCCACACCGGACACAGCATAAACACACACACAAAAAAAAAAACAACCATCCACACCCCCATCATAGCAAACAAATTTAACACATTTAACCACATGCATACATGCACAGTATGCAGTATACCACTCATACACACCACTTCAGCATGAGTGTGTTTTCTCTTTCATTACACACACAGAGAAAAAGTGGGACTCCAACCTGGGAATGGGAACAGGAAAATTAGCAGGCCAAAGTTCATGTCAACTGCCTAGCTATTACTGCAGCAAAAGTGTGCCAGCACTACACACACACACACACACACACACACACACACACATATTCATGAACGTCTGAGTCAGGCAGACAGAGAAAGCTAATGCAAACTGAAGTCATGATGCCTCATGCTGTAATCAAGAGCATTATGCCTTCTGTAATTACCTCTAAACATTCATTTGGCTAATAACTTTAGCTGTCTGTGCCACATACAGGGAGGGGTGTTAAATTCCCTGCAATCCCTCAGTCATCACAATAACAGCAGTGGTCCAAGGATGGGCTGTGATGTAAAAACTCAGATACAAGCTGTTTAATCAGTTTCATTCTTTTCATTTAACAGTTGGTGTATCCCTCTTTGATGGGGTAAAACACTTACATGTTACAGGTACAATAGTTTCTCAGATAAAATGGGACTAACTACTTTTCAGCACAAACTCAGTCCCACAGCTTAATGTGTGAGCTGTGAAGCTTTTTTCTTCTAATTTAATGCCACACGTTCCTGCCTTGTTGGAGTTGCAGTCGTGAGATCAAAACAGTCAGAAAACAGAAAAAAAAAAAAAAAATCAGCAGCTGACCGACTATTCCCTAACCTCCAACACTTGACCCAGAGCAGAGAACTGCTTCTCAGGCAGACCACCCTGTGGTATCGCAACAGTGTGTGCAGGAGATGAATGTGTAACTTTACAGGAATGGACAGGAAGTAAAAATAAATATGACTTCCCTCAAATAAATATACAATAATGAAGATTTAGGAAAAATGGAAAAGGCCGTTAAACACTCTTTTAGTTACTAATTTTTAAAATGTACCTCAAATTCAGACTTAGTAGAAGCAACACACACTCCAACACCACACACACTTACAGGTCTGTTAACCACACAAGCCTCCTTACAAAACTCACCACCACTCAGCTCATCTTATCATGGCAGGAAGGGGGTTGCAACTCTTTCCAACCAGCCCATGCAATTAGACTGAAAAGTAAAGAATTCCCCAAGGACACAGCTGCTCCTGACTTCAAGTCAAAACACACATAGTTCAGGCTGCATACTGCAGATTATGATTCAGTTACAAGAGCACAAGAGTATTACTGTATGTATTAGTGTCTAAGTGTATTACATACAGTGAATACACACCCACACGGTGCACAAAGCTAATCTGTCACTGAAGGCTCCTCATTTGACTTATGATAACTCCTCTCCCCTGCTGTCAGTGTGTGCACGCTCTTCTCCCTGCCTCCCTCCCTCCTGTCCTTTTCTCAGCACTGCTCACTGACCTAACAAAGCATCTCCACAGTCACCAGCCTGACCCAGTAACCTGTATGCCTCCTATCTGCTGGAGACGGCCGGCTATAAGCTTCCATCTGAGCTGCAGTACGGTGGGACGTGTGAGTCAACAGCAATGTGTAATGAACAAAAGCTTCTCTGTAGTTGTAGAGAAAGTTACTCGGCAAACGTTCTTGTTTTAAAAAATGTTTTTAAATGTTTTATGTTATCCTCTTTTTTTGTCATCCCACAATGCAATTCAGTTCATTTAAACAACTTAGCTAGAGCGATGTGGTTTGCTAACAGATAAAGGATTTGAAAAGTGATAGGCATCTGCTCCTTTATCTGTTTGTTTTTCTTTATTGTTAGATTGGATTTATAACAAGATTACACTTAATGTAACTTACCCCTTGGTTTCCTTTGAAACAAATCGATGGTTCACTTGGTAAAGATCCCTGAGGTGAGAGAAAGAAAGGAATAAAAACAGACATTTATTGTGGCATAGTTGCACATATTTCGAGAGATCTGCAATCTACTGCAAACACAATTACGCTGTGTTTAAATGTTAAAGTTAAAGTTACACACTCAGTAACGCCTGCGTGCTGTTAATGGTCTCCACTGGAGCTAATTATGAGACAAACTACTTGTCAATTAGATAACTAGGCAGACTGCCACTGTGGTTCACTTTGAAGCTCAAGGAAGGTTTCTCAGCAAACAGCTGACGGGCTCGTCTTTCCCGACAATCACAGGGTTCAGCCCTGGTATGCTATGCCGCCATGTAGCCAACTGATTCAGGGGTAGCGCAGTCAGAAGTAATTGTAAACTAGTTTGAGCGACTCCCATTTATTTATCTATACTAAACAACCACCGACGTTACTTAAAAAACCGAATAAGCTAAATAAATAAAAACAGCAGAATAGTAGAATTTAACCAAACACAACTGTGAAACAATTTAAAAAGACCAACAAAAAAAAAAGGCTTCAGCGACACTTTGACAGTGAATTCATCTCTAAACACACGCGCGCGCACACAGAAACACACACACACACATAAGGAAAAGTTACCTTGAGGTTTTGGTAAGCCTCCAGCGCCCTGATAGCCGTGTCCGTGAGCTTGACATGGAACAGCGTCCCGTTGGAGCTGTTTTTGTTATTTTTTCCACAGGAGAGCCCATACTGGTGCTCCTGCCTGAGCGAAGCCATCGCTGGCTTTTCTCTCTGCCCAGCAATTAAAGCTGCTTTCCTCTCTCAGCTCAGCACTCTCCCTGAAACGTCACGGCGTGGGAGGGGCCACGGCGACAACAGCACCGTGAACTGAAGGCTGTGCGAGTACAGCGGGGACTGTAGTTCAGTGTATTTGTACTCTTGTCAGTAAAAGAGCATGTATAATATCTAGAGCAGTCTGTCATACGTTTTTCTTTAGTGTTTTAAGATTATGTTTTATTTTTTTTTGCCAAAAGACAAATAACCTGTAGGATTACTGTATTGGGTTTATATCTGCATTCTTTCACATTAAAGCTGCACCAATATTTTTTTTATATATAAACAAAGGGTCAAATGACTATGTGTAATGTGAAAGGGGGCACTCATAAGCACAAACTTACAGATGATTATCACCCGACTCTGCAGTTCTGCTCAGCTCTGCAGAGTTTTAGCATCATTCAGCTCATTGTTTTGGTTTTTACGGCCCACAACTGTTTTGGTTTGTCTCACCAATCTCACCAACCTCATTTCCAGCAGCAGTGGGATGCTGTCCTCAACAACAAAGCTACCCCAACATCCACCAGCAGACAGACAACGTTAGTGACTAGTTGGTGAACAAAGTGAAGCATTTAGCTACAAAAAAGGCAGGTAGTTTTCTTAGAGGAGAGCAAATCAAAGCTAAAAGGAGAGAGAACGTTGGACTTTACCAGGTCATAAGTTTTGCCCGATCGGTGTATATAGGCAACTAATATAATAATATGTATGTTATAATAAAAACAATAACATAACTATGAATCTTTTAATATAATATATATACTACTATAAACTCAAACAATGAACAGTTACTGAAAAAAGTAATAATTAATTGTCAAAGGTACAAAACCACACTCCTCTTCTTTCTTCCAGTGCAAAAGTCCAGCAAAGCATTTTTTTTTGGCCTTATTGATAGAGACAGCTGTAGATAGACAGGAAAGGTGGGTGGAGAGAGAGGAGATGACACGCAGCAAAGGGCTGCAGGTCGAATTCGCACCCAGGCCACTGCAGCAACTCCGTATATGGGTTACCAACTCTACTGACTGAGCTAACCAGGCACCCAGCAAAGCATTTTTTAATAGATAGCAGTGTATGTTAAATGTGCCAACCATAAAAATGTGACAGCTTGTGTGTTTAATACACCAACACATAATTGGACAATGTTCTATTAATTAAACAAGACAAGGCAAGGTGCAAATGTGGCCAGTTAGATAGATTGTTTATATCTCAAACCCATAGCACAAGAGTAATACGTGGCAATGTCTGCCAGAATGATGGGATTGCTTTTTCACATAAGCCAAATTAAATGATAAAAATTTAGGTTGGGCTGGTACCTGTGGATTATTAATTACAAAACCAGTTTTAATACAAATGGACAGTCCCCAATGAGTTAATTTATTTACGATGAAGTAGTAACAAGATATTCTGCACTTTTGGTACAGACAGTAGGCTGTGCCAAGACATCCATCCAATTCATAAAAACAAAATGTAGCTTTTTTCCAGACACCACAGAGTGTACTAAAATGAAGTATTAAACAATTTTATAAAGAATGAACAAAAAAGACAGTGTTAACATCTCAGTAAGCAGGGACGTCTGTCAGTCATAATTTTAGTGTATGTTGTCTGTATGTATGTATGTACTCAGTAAGGGTGTCCAGTTCATCTCATGCATGTGCTTTACATTTACTCTGATAGGCCACACTGCATGTAAGCTTCATTAAATGCTATTGTTCAGGGAAAAGACAGTCACTGTTAAAACCCAGCAATAACAATGTTAATATAGTTTGAATTATTTATAATGGGTCTGTAATTGTCACCAAATCACAAGGTCAAAGTTTAGATTCATTACTTCATTAAATGTACTCTGAATGTAGATTGTTGTACAAACTGTTGATGATAAATGTCCTAGTATCCTTGTATAACAAGCAAGCAATCAATGCAATGAATGAATTGTCCATTTAATGACAAATTATTTTACTGTAGGCTTATGCAAGCAGCCATATTCAATAGTTAGCAAAATAATTAAATCAGATTTAAATAATGTAAATATTTAAACAAACAATAGATATTTGCAGAAATATAATTTCTGCAGATATCTATTGTTTTTAGTTTTTTGTCAAATACTAAATTGTTTGGTGAACGTCATAAAGAGCTAAAAAAAAAAAACATAAGAAAGAAAAAACAAGCAACAGTCACAATGTGGGTCAGTTTGCAAATAATCCTTGACAGGAAAGATGCTTATCCCAAGGAGTTAATGGGCTTATTCATTGACATTTTTGACAGTCTGTCCAACTTTCCTTTTTCTTGTCCGTCAAGGTCCAACATTTACACAACAGAAACAGATAAAACAGACACTGAACCCACTGGTGGGTAGAGCTGTTACCTGTTAAGAAATGTAACACGTTGAATGTATGCGTCTCACAGCCCGGCAAACATGACTAAGCTGAATGACGGCAAATCCAAGCAACTTAAGTGTTTGCATAACTGTGAGAAAGCGCACAAGAGATGGTGGAGGTTGGGTCTGACAAGTAAGCCTATTTAGTTAAATTACTAAGCTACTCCCTGAATGAAAGTACATAACAGGTGGGGGAGGGGTAACTGGAGGAAAATCCTGTATCCTTCTGATAACCATGTAAATCTACAATCAAATAAACCTTATATTCCACCAAAGTATATCTAAAATTCAGCTCCAGAGATGACAACATGCAGTGTAATAGTACTTAAAACAGCAGTCCTTCCCCCCACCCACTGATGCATGTAGGTTTGAAGTCGCCCCCCCAACAGCCAAGCAGTGGGAGATTAACCCACTTCAGCCCCTCCCTTTTCTTTACCTGGCTCGTCTGTCTCATCCACTCATTGTCTATGGATTGCCATCTGCTGCATGGGAAACCGCTAATGCACACCGACCCCCTGGGAGTGACGTTTCACACCTGAGGTCAGTGACTCCCAGAGCACCTGCAACTGGTAACAAGCAGTTTGTTCACATTGTGCTGTTGTCCCTAATGTTTCCCTTCATTTAATGCAGAGCAGAGTGTGTTAAAAGACTAATCGGTGCACAATGTCAGGTTGAATAATACAGATTAAATCACAGCCTCATGGGGAAAAGTTAATGGTCAATGAAAAACATACATATGGATCGAACGGATGTAAGATTAAATGTGGAGAGCTAACAAGACATTTTGTCAGCATTAGGCTACGCATGTGAATAATGAAATACCTTTAAGCAGAAAACATGTATTAAAGGTTGTCTTCCATTGAGTCCATGATGTTGATAAGCCATGATTATGGTATCCAGTAACACTGGTTATAGTTAGAGGTGTACACATTTTTTTGTGCATTTCGCACCCACTGTGCTTGGAAAGGCAGGGTGAAGCGACGGAGTTGCGATCTGCAACTGCACCACTAGATGCCACTAAATCCTACACACTGGACCTTTAAATTATAATTTGTTTTATGACATTCAGTGCCATGTTACAGTTAGTGTAAATGTAGAGCCACTTATTCATTACAATATGTTAAGGCTCAATATGGCCTTCGTACACTTTGCTAATTTGGAGTGTAGATGGGAAGGGAAAATATATTTTAAGGTACAGCCTATCATTGAATCACATCCCAACCAGAAGAATTAAATGTGAATTCCTAGTGAGGTTTACAAACTTTAGTGTGATTAATTAACAACAATGTAAAACCTATTTAGTTTGAATACAATTTAAGTACATTAAAATAATAAATATTATTCATGTTTTGGAAGCTCGAACGCCCCAAAATGTTAGGCAACGCAACTGTCTGTACAAGTGAACTCACTAAAAAGAGAATTAAAAATCATATTTTAATGGTGATAAATTCAAAGTAAAATACCATGGCATGAGTCTATGTTTGAAACCGTTCAAATAAACCAAATTTACATTTACAATTTACAAATACCAATAATTTTAAAGCTGAAAAACTTTTGTTCAACAATTTGTATGTTATCATATGTCATGGGGGCACAACCGTACCATAGGGCTTTTATTTTTAAGTGAACAGGTTATAATGCTAACCGAATATTGCAACCAGAGGGCCCCAAGTGACCTTTATGGCTGAGTAAAAAAGTTTCTAGATCTCACTCAAATTTTGACAAATATACAGTAGCTAATTTCAACTCATAGGTTGGCCGGTACACTTTCCATGTCAGGTGGTACAACCAATGTAAAATTCTTTATTTTATTTTGCAGTAAAGACATATAACACATATATGTTAACACATATGAAATGTATTTTTCTGCATTCAAAGAATGCAGTACACATCACTGCACATTTCACTGTAAAAAAACACGGTGACATTTTCACAAAGACAGTGCTAATGACTCAAAGGCTGAGGCCTAGAGAGGGTGGGTAATGTGCACGTTTGTATTTGAGTGTGCTTGTATACACACACACACACACACACACACACACACACACACACACACACACACACTGTTATTTCAGCTGGCAAGGATGCCGTATCTGGCAGAGTGAGAAAACACTTTTTTGGGAAAGGTATCGGCTTAGACAAACTAACGCCTTTTCTGTGAGACTAACGCGTTCCCTGGTGTCAAACACAACAGCACGTTTATGGTGTTCTTTCACAGGCTGAAAATTTAGATTTTCTTTTTTTGGAGAGAAGAATTTGGACAAGTACAAATAACTGTTTTTAGTTGTGCAACATGAAGACCAACATTACAAAGTCCAGAAAATATACACATATTATATAAATATATAAATATATATTTTATTACACCATCGTTGATTGCAGTAAAGAGTAGCAATATATATTCAATATATTCCAGGAAATATAACATTTAGGAATTATAAACAGTACAGTCATGGAAGTCATGTAAATCCTTGCTTGGCCATTCTTCAGAAAAGCTGAATTAAGAATAAGAATGAAAAGACTGTATCTGCTTCATTAGAATATCTAACAATTGATTTGTATTGTTCTGAACTTTAGCATTAACAAATAATAAAATCATATTAAGTAATTCATTTATTTTAATGACCTCCTAAACATTAAAATAATGAGGCAGCAAAAGTTAGCATGTTGTTTCATTAAGTCAGACTGCAGTGCACTTTGTCAAATGATGACATAGTTTTGCTTGTTCTACCTGGTTGAAGAAAGACAGCATCTAGCTGGCTGTGCTGTAATAGAGATCAGATAATTGATGTTTCCCAGCAGCACATGTGATGTTTGCAAATGAGCATGATCTCTAAATTACAGGTAATACCACTGTGCTCTGTAGGCAAGATAAAATATTAAGCCAATGTCTTTACTGTATTTAAAACCAGTTATATAATTTAAGTTTGCTACCCTCATTGGAATGTATTTTTTTTCTGTAATGTATGTGCAGTAAACTTTATATGTGTAATACTTATAGAATGTGTCTTATAGAGTCATAGAATTTATTCTTAATACAATTCAACACGGTTAAATATTCACCATTTCAATATTGTAAAAGGAAAACATTATTTGTTTGTTTCCAACCCCATGTGAAGAATAACCTAAAGTAATGTAATGGAAATGTAAGGAAATGTTAAAATACTATAAATCAATGTTTCTTTTGGAAATTTCACTGAACAGGTAAAAAAACGAAACTTGTGTGATGACCGTGCTGGATACAAATTTGTAGTGGGCCTACTTGTGTATAGGAGTACAGCCTGAGAGGTATCCTAACATTGTTACATTGAGCCACACTCAAGGCTTCAGTGGTGGAGGAATTTCAAGGCTGTGTGTTACTTGTGAAGCATGTTGGCAGTAGGGCCCCCAGATCACTCCATCTCTCTCTGAAAGCCGTTGTTAGTAGTCAGGATGTCTTCCTGTGCAACACATAGACGACAGACAATCGTGAAAAAATAAAGTAAATCACAATTTTTTTTATCTTACAACAACAGTTCATTTTGAAAAATATTTAGTTAGACTGAACACTACTGAGTTGGAAAATTGATGCGACTCTCATATCTGTACGGTAAATAGGAAGCTGGATCCAGCAGCCGGTTAGCTTAGCATAGCATGGAGGCTGTAAACAGAGGGAGCTCTGTCCAAAGGTAACAAAACCCGCTTATCAGCACCTCTCAATCTCATAAATTATCACATTACATCTTGTTTGTTTAATGTGTAAAGTGTAAAAAGAACAATTTGTCATTTTACAGGTGGTTATGTACCAGGGTACCTGTTTCCCCCTATTTCTTGTCTTCATGCTAAGCTAGGCTAACTAGCTGCTTGCTCCACCTTCATATTTCAGTCAGACTATTCTTTTAAGGAATGCGATGACACGTTATCTTTTGCTCTGTTAAGCATAACAGAATTAGTATTATGTTTTCTCAAACTTGGGTCCAAGGACAAAGACTGCAGCTGTGCAGAAGAGAGTCCAACTAGATTTAAAGCTACTATGGTAACCTGGGTCAGACTCAAAAAACCCACTGCAGCACCATGTAAGATAAGATTTAATAAAAACAATCTTCCTAATGATTGCACAGACTGGAAAGAACAGTGGCTCAGCTCAAACCAACTACCTCCTTCCTCCAAAAATTTTGAAATAATAAAAAAAAATCCGGAAGTGGTTGCGCACAGAGAAGCAGGTTTACTCAGCAAAGTCTGTGGATTATGTTCACATCTGAGATTTGCACATTTGTTTTCACTGTCTTCAAAGTGAAGGTGAGCACAAACGTTCCCACAAAGAAACACAATCAGACTTCGGATTCAGCTTTTTCATTGCCTCTAATGTGTGTGTGCGTGTTCCTCTGTGTCTGTGCCATCACTGACACGCATGCACGTATGCACTCGTTGCTAAGCAGACCCAGGTGTTTGGTGTTTTATTGAGATCATAGGGCCTTTACTGCCACCAGTTTTACAGTGACTGTACAGGTGTGTCTGATCATTCCACGCATGAAAAGAGACAGCAGTCAAACCAGAGCTGCTCTGTGCCACTGTGACCTGGAAAAGATCCTGATAACAGCAGCGCTCAGAGCTTTTGTGCCTTCATGTAGTCAAAGCTTTAAAGTATTCAGAGTTTGGCATCTGATGAGGGGTTAACCCATCCATATCCCCTGTTTTTGTTTGCTTCCCTGTCTTCAAACAGTTTTGTGTAAATGCTCCAGCAGTGAATACCAACCACACTTTGCTTACAGCAAAATCTTAGTAGTGGCGGCACAGTTAATGTCTGTGTTTTTACGGCATAATTGGACAATTTCTGATTAAAACATCAGTCGGGTCTGGCATAACCAGCTCTCTGCCACCACACACAATACACAACAATATATGGCGCCTGCCACTGTAACGGGATTGGGTAATTGGAGCCGATTTCCCATAACCACAGGGGAACAGTGACAGAGCGATCCAATAAAAGTCAGACACCAGACTACTGAAGCATTTATATCAAGGGACCAGGATGGGGCTGTGTCTTTGAAACCATGTTTTGACGGAACAGGGTAATGTAGTGACCAGACTTTAACACTCTGATGAATCTAATCTAGCCTTTAAAATCCAAATAGGATGTGACTTTAAAATTCATCTGCAGTATGCTTTTGGGGATTTTATTGTCCCAAATGAAGTGGTTGAATCTTGGGATTTAAGCCACAATTCTGTCTAATGACATGAGACTGTACTTAGGCACAGTGGTGCTTTTAGCTAAATGCTAATGTCAGGATGCTAACAAGGTCACAGTGACTACTTTCCAATGTTTCATTGGTAATGTATTCCATCTTCACCATCTTTAGCGTATTAGCACATTTGGTAGTCACCGAGCCCCCAGGAAGAGTGCTGGGCTTTGAAGGCAGTTTGACATAGTAGCCGATGCTTATAATCACAGCAATGCCATCCGTCATAGGAAGCTGCTGTAAAATAGAGGATACATTTCTTGAGCATCAAAACCCCCTCGAAATGATTCGTTTCAGTATCAGAATTTGATCCATTTGGTCCAATAACATTTGGAAAGTTTAGAAGAGCTGCAGGATTAAATCATTTTATCTCAAGCGGCTACCTCTGTGGCTGGCAAATAAGGCCAACACAGGAGTAACAAAAACTGCAGTTACTCAAGTGGCCACTTGAGGCTGGCTACAGAGGTGATCAATCTCCATATTAAAATGCTCAACTTTATGGTAGTCTCTACGGCTAATTTACCTGTTCATGACAACTTTATGGTGGCTTCATTTTTACATTGCTCACCCGTTATAATTTCCATTTAAGGCTTAAAGTTATGCATACTCAGGCTGATTTGAGTGACAGGTGGGTGCCGTCACAGGTGACTGTTTCATCTCCACCCACGCTTCATTATTTGCTCATTTTTTATTAGCCAGGATCCGGCAGAATCAGGACGGCCAAGATGGTGACGGCTAGAGCTACCACACTTTGAGCTTCATGGCAGCTCTTTAGAAACCTACATATGGGTGAAATAACAGAGGCTACATCCATTTTTAATTATACAGTCTGTTTTATCAACATTCAAGTTAGCTGAAGAAGTTGTGGCTCAGCCATACTTGGATGGCAAAAGTCTGCAGTGCAAATGCTCAATGGGCCCCAGTCCCACAACACAGAAGATCCATGTAATCAAACTCTTTTGGCCTCATGAACCACTGAGCAGCTTCCATAGGAACGAACAGAGCTTTGCCTTCATACATGGTTTGCACAAAAAAAAAAGCACTGTTGAGGCTGATGGGAATGTCATTAGTTTTGCAGGTATCTGGTCATAAACCAAAGTACTGATAAAAATTGGACCTGATGATGGTGCTACCTGAAAAGTTATGAGATCATTAGGATTCAGGTCTGGGCATCATGAATGTCTGTAGAAATTCTCCAGGGACTTTGTAACAGTGAAAACCATGAGTAATCTTCACTCTATATTGATGCACAGATGAGTATAGTAGTCAATGTGCATCACTTGGTCAACAGCTCATATTTCAACACTCTTCACTCCTAACAAGACTGTCAATATGTAAAACTTCTGAGCAAAGCCTTCTGACTAACTGACAGTTTTTTCTTCTTTTGTGTGTGTGTGTGTGTGTGTGTGTAGCCACCACATGATGCTTTTCCCTTTGAAGCTTGATTAAAGTCGTCACCTTGTCAAGAGCTGTATTATGACGAGGTAATCACACTTGAAAGTCAAAGGACTGGAAACATACAAAAGCGTTGCACAGTGTCTTATCTCAGAGATTTATACGACTCATTTTGTGCCTGTTGTTCAGCTGGATGATTGGAGCTGCCTCATCCCGAGCTTTATGTGTGTGTGTGTGGGGTACAGTCATTCAGCCCCGCTAGTTTCCCTGCAGCTCTTTAGGGTCTTGATGACTCACTCAGGCCACAGACGTCATCATATTCAGGGCAGGTGCCTTCGTATTGCCACAGCTGCACAGCACTTCCAAAAAGGATTGAGAGAGAGAGGGTGAGTAAAGAAGGATAGACTGAATGTGCAAAAAAAGAACAAGACAGAGGGGAAAAGGGCTGATAGAAAAACTTTCAGCCACATATATAGCAAAAAAACCAAAAACCTAATTGTGGTTTTGGATTATTACTGCTGCTTCCTGAAAAATAAATCTACTGTAATGGATTAATGAACCTACAGCAATATGGTGTTTGCTTTGGCAACAAGTCAGTCATATGTACATGGAACTGAAAGAGACAAATTAAAGCTGCAACAATCTACTTTTATATTAACTGTAGGTCAACTGATTATGTATAACGTGAAAGGCACAGAAGCCACAGAGATTTATTATCAGTCTCTGCAGTTCCCCTCGGCTCTACACAGTGTTTTTGTGTCTGTAAGCTCGGCTGTTTTTCTGCCCGTTTTATAGCCTGAAACTTTACTGTTTTGGTTCACTCTTGTCACCATAATTTCCAGTCGTTTTCAGTGAAAAAGCTCAGAAAACTGACTGCGAACTACTTGCTAAGCACTAAACAATACAACATTAAAAATAAATATAAAACAATAAAAAGTGTTTCTCTGTGTCAACTGTATGTGTAAAAAGCAAATGTTTGCCAGCAAGTTCAACATATCAACAATATGTTTGCAGTTTGAAGGTCACAGTTATAGATACTGTGAGCAGGTGCCTGGTTAGCTCAGTTGGTAGAGCTGGTATCCCATGTACCGAGGCTGAATCCTTGCTGCAGCGGCCCAGGGTTCAAATCCGACCTGCGGACCCTTACTGCATGTCATCCCCTCTCTCTGCCCCCCTTTCCTGTCTATCTTCAGCTGTCACTATCAATAAAAAAAGCAACAAAAAAAAAAAAAAACATAGATACTTTGTGTAAAAATGTATTTTGTGTATCCTTAACATGCCATTAGCTTTACCACATCTAACAACTGTTTAGTAGAATTCAAATATTAAAAATCGCATTAAATAATGAACTCCCACTTAACACAGACTGTGTTAAGTATTCCTCATTATCCACATTATACAGGCTTTTATAGCTGAATAGCCCAGGGAGCAGGATCAAGACCAAAGGAACAAACTACATCTAATTTCACCCTTCATAATATTTGTCTCCACGTGTCCTCTCAGGGAAAAGGCACTGTGGATATTTGTTACACCTCAGACCAACAATGATGGGCTATACTGCACAGAACCAGTCTGCTGTACTCATTGCCCTCTGCTCTGGTCTCTGGAGTCCTGTCTCGAGATGGGTAAGGGGTTCCCATGTGTGCTGCCACTCAGCTAATTGAGGCCTGGTAAAGGCAAGTTGCCATGGAGGAGACTCCCACATATGGGATGCTACTTTTAGTGTTGCTCTTTTGGGAAAACTGGTAAGTTCGTGCTGAACATTTTATTTCTATTTTGTGCATAGAGTAGAATTGTTCCATTTGCTGTGATTTCCAATTACACTA